TAAATAGTGTGTCAGAGTTATGTGTTTCATAGAAAAGGAAATGATCATTCTGTGGGCCTCCAATGTCCCAATTACACTGAAAGGACTTGCTGTCAACGTTTTACTCTGGGCCGGGGCGCCCCGGGAGGCTGCCAGCAAGCCCACCCTTTCCTCTCAGGGCCTGTGATTGGCCACAGAGACTATGGGCGGGCTTGCCCTCTCCTCTCCCAGCCTGCTCAGCTGCAGAGGCTACAGGTTGCCGCCGCCCCTCAACACTTGTATTATCTGATTATTTTTTTATTCTGGCTGTCTTAGTGAGTGTATAGTGATATCCCATTGTGGTTTTGATTGCCTTATGACCTAGTTTCCTGACAACTAATGGTGTTGAGCATCTTTTCATATGGTTATTGGCCATTTGTGTATCTTCTTTGGAGAAATGTCTATTCAGACCCTTTTTCAAATTTTTACAAAATATACTAGTATACTTTTATTGATTTCAGAGAAGAAGGGAGAGAGAGATAGAAACATCAATAATGAGAGCATCATTGATTGGCTGCCTCCTGCACAACCACCTCTGGGGATCAAGCCTGCAACCCAGGCGTGTGCACTGACTGGGATTCAAACCATGACCTCTTGGTTCATAGGTCAACGCTCAACCACTGAGCCATGCCAGCTGGGCCCTTTTCCCAATTTTTAATTGGGTTATTATCATCTTATTATTAAGTCATACGAGTCCTTATTATATTCTAGATACAAGTTTTCTGATCAGATATAGGACTTGCAAGTATTTTCTCCCATTCTTTGGGTTGTCTTCTCCCTTTCTTGACAGCATCCTTTGAAGCACAATTTTTTAACTTCAATTAAATCCCATTTATTTTTTTTTAGTTGCTCATGATTTTGGTATTATATCTAAGAATAAAGTGCCAAATCCAAAGTCATGAGTTTTTACTCCTGTGTTTTCTTCTGAAGAGTTTTATAGTTTTTGCTCTTACATTTAGATCTTTAATCCATTTTGGGTTAATTTTTATATGTGGTTTGAGGTAAGGGTCCAAGCTTCATTCTTTTCCATGTGGCTATCCAGTTGTCCCAGAACCACTTATTTTAAAATAAAACAAAACACAAACTATTATTTCCCTGTCACATGGGTTTTTGCCTCCTTGTGGAAAATGAATTGACCATAGACACATGGTTTTATTTCTGGAGTGTCAATTCTATACCACTGATCTATATGTTTGTCCTTTTACCAGTATCACAGTGTCTTGATTATAATTGCTTTGTATTAAGTTTTGAAATCAGGAGTGTTAATTCTCCAAATTTGCTCTTCCTTTTCAAGGTTGTTTTGGCTATTCTGGGACCCTTAAATTTCCATGTGAATTTTAGGATCAGCCTGTCATTTTCTGAAAAAAAGAAAAAAAGCTAGATTATTTTGGAAAGTAGTGCCATTTTAACAATGTTAAGTCTCCAGTCCTTAAGTGAGGAATATTTTCCCATTTATTTACATCTTTTAAATTGCAATGTACAAGTCTTGCACTTCTTTTATTTAATTTATTCTCTTTGATGCTATTGTCAATGGAATTGTTTTCTTAATCTTATTTTCCATTTGTTTATTGCTATTGTATAGGAATAGGATTGATTTTTGTATTCTAGTCTTGTTAAACTTGTTCATTAGTTTTATTGGTATTTTACTGGATTCCCTAGGGATCTATTTACAAGATCGCATTGTGTATAAATAGAGATGGTTTCGGTACTTCTTTTCCAGTCTGATGTCTTTTGTTTCTTTTTCTTGCCTAATTTCTTTAGCTAGAACTTCTAGAACAATGTTTAATAGCAGTGGTAAAAGTAGGCATCCTTGTCTTGTTCTTAACCTTAAAGAGAAAGAATCTAGTATTTCACCATTAAGTATGTTGTTAGCTGTGTGTTTTTCAAGTGCCCTTTATCATGTTGAGGACGTTCTCTTCTATTCCTGGTTTGTTCATTGTTTTTATCAGGAAATGGTGTTGGATTTTGTCAAATGCTTTTCTGACTATTGAGATCATCATTTAGTTTCCTGATATGATGTATTACATTAATTGGTTTGCACTTATTAAAGCAAAGCACAATAAAATGAGGTATACTTGTGGAGTGATAAAGAAGAAATAAAACTATCTCTATTTGCATGCAGATGACATGATTGTATGTAGACAATTCCAAAGAATCTACAAGAAGTTAGTGGAACTAATAAATGATTTTAGCAAGTAATAGGATACAAGGTCACCATTCAAAGTTGATTATATATCTGCGTATTAGCAATGAAGTTCAAGAACAGAAAATAACAATCAATAGAGATAAAAGTCAAAATAGTTGTTAACTCTGGTAAGGTGGTATTGACTGGAAAGGAACGTGAGTTTTGGAAGTATCTATTTATATAAAAACCCTAGGTGTAACGTCACGACCCAGGCTTGACCAACCTGAAGGAAGTCAATCCTGCAGGGGTTGTCTTGGCAACGGCTGTGCCCTCCCCGAGCTGTTTCCTGGAGCTGTTTCCAGTAAGGGTGAGGTTTGAGGCAGGAACCGGCCCTTGGAGCGTGGAGGCATATCTTTATAAAGTTTTAATACATTATATTAGAGGTCGTGGTGGTAGTTTTACCCACAGCGTCTACAGGAATTGCTACAAATTTACTTCTCGGTAGAAACACCTTTCATTTCCAATATAAATTACCGATTCCATTAAATGAAACTTCAATTTCTAGACTCGATATAAACAGTGAAGTTGCTAAAACTATTAAAAAGGCCCAACTTCTCATTATTGATGAATGCACCATGGCATCCAGTCATGCTATAAATGCCATAGACAGATTACTAAGAGAACTTATGAATTTGAATGTTGTATTTGGTGGGAAAGTTCTCCTTCTTGGAGGGAATTTTCGACAATGTCTCAGTATTGTACCACATCCTATGTGATCGGCTATAGTACAAACGAGTTTAAAGTACTGCAATGTTTCAGAAAGTTGTCTCTTACAACAAATATGAGATCAGAGGATTCTGTTTATAGTAGATGGTTAGTAAAACTTGGAGATGGCAAACTTGATAGCAGTTTTCATTTAGGAATGGATATTATTGAAATCCCCTGTGAAATGATTTGTAATGGATCTATTATTGAAGCTACCTTTGGAAATACTATATCTATAGATAATATTAAAAATATATCTAAACCTGCAATTCTTTGTCCAAAAAATGAGCATGTTCATAAATTAAATGAAGAAATTTTGGATATACTCGATGGAGATTTTCACACATATTTGAGTGATGATTCCATTGATTCCACAGATGATGCTGAAAAGGAAAATTTTCCCATCGAATTTCTTAATAGTATTACTCCTTTGGGAATGCTGTATCATAAATTCAAATTGAAAGTGGGTGCAATCATCACGCTATTGAGAAATCTCAATAGTAAATGGGGTCTTCGTCATGGTACCAGATTTATTATCAAAAGATTACGACCTATACCCTTTGTAATACTTTAAGCAATAAAAAATAAAAATAAAAAGATTATGACCTAACATTATCGAAGCTGAAGTATTAACAGGATCTTCAGAGGGAGAGGTTGTTCTGATTCCAAGAATTGATTTATCCCCATCTGACACTGGGCTCCCATTTAAATTGATTCAACGACAGGTTCCCATGATGCCAGCATTTGCGATGACTATTAATAAATCACAAGGATAAAGTCTAGACAGAGTAGGCATATTCCTACCTGAACCCGTTTTCACACATGGTCAGTTATATGTTGCTTTCTCTCGAGTTTGAAGAGCATGTGAAGTTAAAGTTCTAAATACTTCATCACAAGGGAAATTAGTCAAGCACTCTGAAAGTGTTTTCACTCTTAATGTGGTGTACAGGGAGATATTAGAATAAGTTTAATCACTTTATCAGTCATTGTTTGCATCACTGTTGTTTTTATATCATGTTTTTGTCGTTTTTATATCATGTTTTTGTCATTTTTATATCATGCCTCTGTTGTTATATCCTTTGTTACTGTTTATTTATTAATAAATTTATATATTATTTTCATATACATTTTACTAATTTCCTTTCATCTCTCACACTTCTATTATAGAGAAAGGGCAAATAGCAATATTAAAATATTTCCGCTAATTAATTCGCTTTTAATGTGCACGAATTTCGTGCACCAGGCTACTAGTTCTATATGATAGTGGTTATATGGATTTAAACATATAAAAATTCATCAAGCTGTTTAAGATTAATGCACCTCATTCAGTTTATTCTATTATGCTATACCTCAACACTTTTTAAAAGTTTGGTTTAACAGGCTGAATGAAAACTGTCTCCTGATACAAGATTATTCCCATGGTGATACCCAAAAAATATTGTTGACTGACTAAATCAGTGATGGCGAACCTTTTGAGCTCGGCGTGTCAGCATTTTGAAAAACCCTAACTTAACTCTGGTGCCGTGTCACATATAGAAATTTTTTGATATTTGCAACCATAGTAAAACAAAGATGTATATTTTTGATATTTATTTTATATATTTAAGTGCCATTTAACAAAGAAAAATCAACCAAAAAAATGAGTTCGCGTGTCACCTCTGACACACGTGTCATAGGGTCGCCATCACTGGACTAAATGGAACAATTTGGAAACTTTCCTTTGCTTAAAATAAAACCACAGTTAGTTTATACAATACTGTATCGTCTGGTTAATTCATTCATTAAAATGAAACAGGTAAACACTGAATTTGAATTAGATAGCAGCAGGCCTTTTTTTAGACTGTTTAAGGAACATCATAGCAATAATTTTAGGAAACAGAGGCAATGCTAGTGATTGCAATACAGGGTGCTGAAAGTATTGGTGAGTTTATAGATTTAAAAATGTAAAAGATATGTTCACAGAAGCTGGGATAACCTTCAAATTGTAAGTAAAATTAAATTTTCTCAACAAGAAAATCTCCCCAGAAGAGAGATTAGGAGAGAATATTGAAATGTAATCACAGAAAATGTTGCATTTTTGCTTCTTTCTTAGGGGATTTCTCCAATGATCCATGTGAGACATTGCTTCTGCTATATGAGTTTGAAGTTAAAGCCAAAATGAATGACCCATTACTGGACAGCTTCCTGGAATCAGTGTGGGAACTGCCTCATTTAGAAAGTAAAACATTAGAAATAATTGCAAGTAAGAGCTATATTTATTAGAAGGCTAGTAACCATTTAAATTGTACTACTTTTTAATTTCTTTTCTCTGTTCTCTCTACATTTCCTCATAGCACTTTGGTTTGCCTTCTCTAATGGCATTCTTGAACCATTTTGTATTATAATCATTTATGTATTTATCTTTTTCTTTATATAAGACTAGCGGCCTGGTGCACGGATTCATGCACCGGTGGGGTCCCTTGGCCTGGCCTGCAGGGATCAGGCAGAAATCAGCTCTCTGACATCCCCCGAGGGGTCCCGGATTGTGAGAGGGCAGTTCTCAGGTGATGCACCCCAGAATCGTGCTCCCTCCTCTCTGGTTCCGGGTGTGTCACCTGAGAACCCTGAGAACCACAGCTGCCAAGTCACTGCAGCTTGGCAGCTCCTGCATTGAGCGTCTGCCCCCCCTGGTGGTCAGTGTGCATCATAGCTACCAGCCAGTCAGCCAGTTGCTTAGGCTTTTATATACTGTATATAGATTATAAGCTCCTTAGGGTCATGAACAATAATTACTTATATTTGTTAATGTAATTATTTATAAACCCTGGCTAAGTGCATTGCTCACAATAGGTGCTTATATTTATTCTATGTGTGGAATTGAATTCTATAACTACAATAGAAGGAGCTCAAACTTAGTTTTGCTCAGCTAGCTAGAAATGGTAAATGCTCCCTTAATCAGAAGTAATATAATCAAAGCAATTGATTAAGGTGTACAGAGAAATATCGGTAATATATTTTTTAAATATATTTTATTGATTTCAGAGAGGAAGGGAGAGATAGAAACATCAATGATGAGAGAGAATCATTGATTGGCTGCCTCCTGCATGCCCCCTACTGGGCACCGAGCTCGCAACCCCAGCATGTGCCCTTGACTGGAATCGAACCAGGGACCCTTCAGTCCACAGGCCGATGCTCTATCCACTGAACCAAACTGGCTAGGGCTCTCTGTAATATTTTTTAACACAGTTGCCAATCTCAAATTTTTGGTTGGGCTGTAAGTGGTATTTGGGGGCCCAAAGCCTCTATAGGGATATACTGCAAGAAATGGCCTAATTGTCTTCTCTTTTTATCTCTCACCCTCCTCAGGAGCCTGTGTGTGGTTAATAAAAGTATTAGGTAGCCCCCAAATGCACAAGAGTCACATTTGCCTTTCGTTGTCTTGCCAATACAGAATTCCTAGAGACCAGGAGCAGATGGTGTATACTTAGTGAACATGTGATGGTTACCACTGCTCATTGTATAAAGTAACTCCTATTCTAGAGGCCTGGTAAATGCATCTGAATGTTTTAGGGTCTGTTATCTTGGACACCCACTCTCATGTCCAGTGTTTCCTGTTTTTAGTATCAGACAAAAACAGTTAATTGTAGCTTAAGTCTATTTTTTATTAGTGCCCTTTTACTAATCTGCTTTCTGTTTCCTTCTTAGTGTGCCATTGACTCTGGTTTATAAGATTATTGCTTTACCTGTATTGTGCAAGGTCAAAGAAACAATAGGTTCTCTGTTGATGTTTGCTGAAGAAAAGATATAACCTGGTGATCCTACTATGTTACTCTGCCCAGAAAGTAGAAGTTACCTCTGAAAGCCACCATGGACTCATTGTTTTCTAAAATTAGTTTTCTTTGTGTGTTTGTTTGTTCATTTTGTTAATCTGTTTTAGGCCAGTTTTGTTAGAGAAAGCACAAATTGTAGTCTGGAATGAAAACTGTGATGGATGAAATTATGGTAGTCACAACCTTTTTTCTTCTCTTCCTATAGTTTTAGCAATGGAAATGCCTGCATACTATCCTTCCATTGCTCTAAAGGCCTTGAAAAGGGCTTTATTGCTCCACAAAAGGAAAGAATCATTTGATGTTTTCAAATACAGGTTAGTAATTGTATTTCAATGCTGTATCCAGGCTTTTTGATAGCCAAAAGAGCTATAGTCAGTGCTTCATAAGTCATCAATCATACTCAACTGGCCCAAATTAAAAGATTATCAGGGTACTCCTGTAACTCCTGAACTAAAAAAGTCTTCAGAACAGCTCCATATTCAGGGTTGTATTATATATATAGACAAAGACTTAATTAGCTAAATCAAGGAGTCTGGATTTCCCTACGGTGAAAAAGAGGGGGAAAGTTGCTTCTTTGTGTGAGTATGTATATACTAAAATTACTAGGTATCTTTCTTTATTTTGTTACTAAATATGCCAAATGTAGACAGAGATTAATATAACAAACAACTATATTATTAATATAAAAATAACTATATTTTTGTTATTAATATAACAAAAAACTTTCATGTATTTCCCACCAAAGATTAATAAATGTTAACATTTTGCTATATTTGCCTCAGATTTTTTTTCCTAAACACCTTTCTTTAAGGGCCAATGAATGCTGTACCTAATATAACATGTTATTGATTAGAGATTTTGTGGTTTCTATGCCTAGACATGAGGGAAAATAGAAGTTATGAAATATGTGATTTTTCTCTAGAAAACATCATTACAGTCTTCCTTTTCTAAGATTTAAGAGACAGTTCTCTTGGAATTATTTCCAATTTAAATCCTCAATTTTCTTGTTTATTTGAGGATGTAACAAGATGCTTTAAAGTGCTTGTAGATTCAACTAGCTCGTAAAATAGAGTAAACAGCCACAAGTCCTTAGTGTAGGAAACTAAACAACAACAAAAAAAGTGAAAGACAACCAAAATAAAAGGAAGGGTTGGCCAGCCCCTTTTATAGCTTCAAAAATCTGTCTTCTGAGGTTGGAGGCCAGATTAAATTGAGGGAAGAACAGACGTGTTTTGAAGCTTAGTCTGGGATAAAATCCAGATTTTACTTATCTTAGCCATGAAGCCAGTGATTTCTTTTCTTATGGGATGAGTCTTCTCTTTTTGATTGCAGCAACTGTCTGCACAACTTGATTAACCTCTTAGTGCCAGGTGGAGTGCCAAATGCAGAACTCTGTTCCCTGGAAGAAGTTTGGGACTATTTTGAAGATGCGTTGAGCCACACTGTAAGTCAAACAGTAATATTAAACTTTCAGCTAATTTTAAAGTTTTGAACTGTCTTGTGTATTAGGAATTACATAAAATAATGCTTTCTGTTATAAGTTTTAGGGTAAATAAATTCATATTACAATGTAATTACACACTATAAAATTTCCCTGGGTTTATGAAATATAAATAGTTAATGGTAGAAAATTTCTAATATAAGTCACAATAGCAGAACCACCTGGCATTTTGGGTTATATTGTATTTTTAAAATTAAGTAGAATTGTTACTCTTTTATCAAGTTGATTAAATTCTCCCCATTCCTTTTTTTTCTGAGAGTTTCTATCATAAATTAGTGTTGAATTTTGTCACATAATTTTTCTGCCTTAATTGATATCATTGTGTGATTTTTCTTCTTTAATTTGTTAATATGGTGGATTACATTGACTGATTTTAAATACTGAACCAGTCTTGCATCCTTGGAATAAATCCCATATGGTCATAGTATATAATTCTTTTTACATATTCCTAGATTCTATTTGTCAGTATTTTTGTTAAAGATTTTTCATCTTTATTCATGAGGGATGTTGGTCTATAGTTTTCTTTTCGAGTACTGTCTTTGTCTGGTTTTGGGATGTGTTCCCGCCTTTTCTATATTTTTGGAAAAGATTGTGTAGAATTTATGTTAGTTCTTTTCTAAGTGTTTGGTAGAATTCTCCAGTGAAACTATCTAGTCCTGCAGATTTTTTTCAAGAGTTTTTAAATTACAAATTAAATTTTCTACTTCATATTGGGTGAGTTGTGCTAACTTATGTTTTGCCATGAAGTGACCCATTTTATCTAAGTTATCAAATTTATATGTATAGACTTATTCATATTTTTCCCATATTATTCCCCCCCTTTGACCCCTCCACCCAAATCCCTCCCTAGGTGTTCACAGCACTATTGTCTGTCCATTGGTTATGCATATATGCATATAAGTTCTTTGGTTAATTTCTTCCCATCACCCCTCCTTCCCTCTGAAACTCATCAGTCTGTTGCATGTTTCAGTGTCTCTGGATCTATATTGTTTGTTAGATTCCACATGTAAGTGAGATCATGTGAAACTTGTCTTTCTCTGACTGACTTAATTTGCTTAGCATAATGCTCTGCAGATCCCTCCATGATGTCCGTAAGGGTAAGCTATCCTTTTTTTAACAGCTGCATAGTATTCCATTGTGTAAATGTACCACACCTTTTTTTATTCACTCATCTACTGATGGGCATTTGGGCTGTTTCCAGAACTTAACTATTGTAAATAGGGCTGCTGTGAACATCAGGGTGCATATATTCTTTCTTATTGATGTTTCAGGATGCTTAGGATATATTCCTAGAAGTGGGATCATTAAATGAAATGGCAATTTCATTTTTAATGTTTTGAGGAAACTCCATTCTGTTTTCCACAATGGCTGCACCAGTCTGAATTCCCATCAGCAATGTACCAGGGTTCACTTTTCTCCACATCCTCTCAAGTACTTGTCATTTATTGATTTGTTGACTAACCATTCTGGCAAGTGAGAGGTGATACCTCATTGTTATTTTAATTTGCATCTCTCTAATGATTAGTGACTTTGAGCATTTTTTCATATGTCTCTTGGCCCTCTGTATGTCCACTTTGAAGAAGTGTCTGTTTAGGTCCTTTGCCCATTTTTTGACACCCCTTGGCGCCCGACGCCGCGTCCTCCTCTCCGCAGCTGTCCAGGCTAAGGTCCTCCATGGAGGCCCCAGACCCCCGGCGGGAAGGGCCAGAGTCCCCAACGTGTGGCCGCCTAGTGCTGGTCGTGGCCGCCCTGCCCCGCCCAGCGGCCCCACCTGCCCCCCCCTGCCCGGGCCACCCTCCTCCTGGGGCGAGCGCGCTGAGGGGCACAGAAGGCGAGAGGAGGAGCGGGCGCAGGCGCAGGCTCAGGCCCCGGCCCCTTTGCCCATTTTTAAATTGGATTGTTTATACTATTTTTGTTAAGTTGTATGAGTTATTTATATATTTTGAAAATTAACCCTTTGTCAGGTGGATCATTGGTAAATATGTTCTCCCATACAATGGGATCCCTTTCCATTTTGTTGATGGTTTCTTTTGCTGTGCACAAGTTTTTATTTTGATGTATTTCCATTTGTTTATCTTTTCCTTTGTTTCTCTTGCTCTAGGAGATGTATTGGCAAACATATTGCTACATGAGATGTCTGAGATTTTGCTGCCTGTGGTTTCTTCTAGGATTTTTATGGTTTCACAACTTACATTTAAGTCTTTTATCCATTTTCAGTTTAATCTTGTGTATGGTGTAAGTTGGTGGTCTGTTTTCATTTTTTTCTTTTGCATGTACCTGTCCAATTTTTCCAACACCATTTATTTAAGAGACTGTCTTTACTCCATTGTATGCTCTTGCCTCCTTTGTCAAATATTAATAGAGCATAATGGCTTGGGTTGATTTCTGGGTTCTCTGTTCTGTTCCATTGATCTATATGCCTGTTCCTGTGCCAGTACCGGGCTTTTTTTTATTACAATGGCTTTATAGTATAATTTGATATCCAGTACTGTAATCCCTCCAACTTTGTTTTTCTTTCTCAAGATTGCAGTGGCCATTTGGGATCTTTTTTGGTTCCATTATAAATTTTTAGAGTATTTGTTCTAGATCTGTGAAATATGCCATTGGTATTTTAATGAGGATTGCATTGAATGTATAGATTGCTTTGGGTAGTATGGACATTGTAATAATCATTTTACTAATCCATGAACATGGTATAACTTTCACTTGTGTATATCCTCCTCTATCTCTTTTTTCAACATCTTGTAGTTTTTCAAGTACAGGTCTTTTACCTCCTTGGTTAAATTTATTTCTAAGTATCTTAATATTTTGTTCCTAAGATAAATTATTTTTTAGTTTCTCTTTCTGAGAGTTTATTATTGGTGTATAAAATGCCATTGATTTCTGGGTGTTAATTTTGTATCCTGCTACATTGCCAAATTCATTTATTAAATCTACTCATTTTTTGGTGGAGTCTTTAGGATTTTCTTCGTACAATATAATGTCATCTGTGAATAATGACCATTTTACATCCTTCTTTCCAATTTGGATGCCTTTTATATTTTCTTCTTGACTGATCCCTGTGGCTAGAATTCCAGTGCTATGTTGAATAAGAGTGGTGAGAGCAGACATCTCTGTCTTGTTCCTGTTCATAAGGGACATGCTTTTAGATTTTGCCCATTGAGTGTGATGTTGCCTGTAGTTTGTCATATATAGCCTTTATTATGTTGAGGTAAGACCCCTCTATTCTCAATTTGCTAAGAGTTTTTATCAAAAAAAATGTGTGTTGATTTTGTCTAATGCTTGTTCTGCATCTGTTGATATGATCATATCATTTTTATCTTATTTATTGGATATATTGCATTTATTGATATGATTATTATACCAGCTTTTTTTCCTTAACATTTTTAATGAAAATTTTCAAATATACAGCAAAATTGAAAGAATTTTACAGTCTATATCCATATATCCACCATCTAGATTTTGCCATTAATAGTTTATGATAGCTGCTGTATCACATATCTGTCTATCCATCCCATTGTCCATCCATTATCCATCTTATTTTTTTAAATTAAGTCTTTATTGTTCAGATTATTACAGTTGTTCCTCTTTTTTCCCCCCATAGCTCCCCTCCACCCAGTTCCCACCCAACTCTCTGGCCTTACCCCCCCCTCACCCCCTGTCCTCATCCATAGGTGTACGATTTTTGTCCAGTCTCTTCCTGCACCCCCCACACCCCTTTCCCCCCCGAGAATAGTCAGTCCATTCACTTTCTATGCCCCTGATTCTATTATATTCACCAGTTTATTCTGTTCATCAGATTTTTTATTCACTTGATTTTTAGATTCACTTGTTGATAGATGTGTATTTGTTGTTCATAATTTGTATCTTTACCTTTTTCTTCTTCTTCCTCTTCTTAAAGGATACCTTTCAGCATTTCATATAATACTGGTTTGGTGGTGATGAACTCCTTTAGCTATTTCTTATCTGTGAAGCTCTTTATCTGACCTTCACTTCTGAATGATAGCTTTGCTGGATAAAGTAATCTTGGTTGTAGGTTCTTGCTATTCATCACTTTGAATATCTCTTGCCACTCCCTTCTGGCCTGCATAGTTTCTGTTGAGAAATCAGCTGACAGTCCTATGGGTACTCCCTTGTAGGTAACTATTTTTCTCTTGCTGCATTTAAGATTCTCTCTTTGTCTTTTGCTCTTGGCATTTTAATTATGATGTGTCTTGGTGTGGTCCTCTTTGGATTCCTTTTGTTTGGGTTCTCTGCGCTTCCTGGACTTGTACGTCTATTTCTTTCACCAGGTAGGGGAAGTTTTCTGTCATTATTTCTTCAAATAGGTTTTCAATATCTTGCTCTCTCTCTTCTTCTGGCACCCCCATAATTCGGATATTGGTATGCTTGAAGTTGTCCCAGAGGCTCCTTACACTATCTTCATATTTTTGGATTCTTTTTTCTTTTTGTTTTTCTGGTTGGGTATTTTTTGCTTCATCATATTTCAAATCTTTGACTTGATTCTTGCGATCCTCTAGTCTGCTGTTGGAACTCTGTATAATATTCTTTATTTCAGTCAGTGTATGCTTAATTTCTAGTTGGTCCTTTTTCATATCCTCGAGGGTCTCACTAGATTTCTTGAGGGTCTTACGAAAGTTATCGGCGGTTTCTAGAAAATTCTTGAAAAACCTTATAAGTGTGGTTTTGAACACTATGTCCTGTAGTTTGCTTTCCTCCAATTCTGTCATTTGTGACCTGTTTTTTTGTCTCCACATTTTTATGCTTCCCTGTGTTGATAGAGTGGCTTTCTGTGCTAGGTGTCCTACAGGGCCCAGTGGCTCAGCCTCCCCGATTACCTGAGGTGGACACTCTTGGTGCATCCCTTTGTGGGCTTTGTGCACAGTCTTGTTGTAGTTACGCCTTGATTGTTGTTGGTATCACTGGGAGGAATTGACCTCCAGGCCAATTGGCTG